TGCACCAACAGCCTCTTCAAATGTTAAACAGCAAAAAAGTGAGGGGGTCCAGAAGACAAAGGCCGACAAGTGAGGTAAAATCAGGCGAAGCCGGGCGGGGGGGTGGAAAATGGACGCCAAAAACGGGTGGTTCCAACCACTTGGCAAGCAGGGAGGAGGTAGGTGGAGGGTACTTGAGCTAACCCCCAAGACGCCTGGGCCGGTGGCCTCGGCGGATTCATTCATGTTTGTTCAGAGAAGCACCCCTGCCGAGTGTTGAAATGCGGCAATGATATATGCAACAGCTGCTACTGCGAGAGACTTACATCTGGGATTGGAATGCATCATAGCCCGCAGCTGTCATCATCCCAATGCTTTGTCACAAGGTTCGATGCGGCTGCTCTGGATGGTGCGCTCGAGATCTTCGGATCTGCACGCCCTGGACTCGTCTTACCGCGAGAGTTTCTTGCTGAGGTTCTGACCAGAGCAACCAGCAAGCGAAAATCACAGCACCCCGACTAGCATGCAAGTGCCATCCTTGATCTGAGAGTGGAGCGGGAGTGCCATCAGACTTTGGGATGCCTCGTGCCATGAACCATGCACCACGTAGAATAGCACTGCTAAGAAAGGCGATGCAGATGTAGGGGAAAGAAGCTGTCGTGAAACATACCAGCCCGGCTCCGAGGCAACGAGATCGAGTGCCCGGATTTGTTCATGAAAGCTGCTTGAAGCTCAGTATGTTGTGGAGACGGCTGCCTCATCATCATTACCATCATCGTCGTCGCCATGATCATCGTCGTAGCCATAATCATCGTCATCGTCGCCATAGTCATCATGGTGATCATCATAGTCATCCTCAGCATCATCATCATCCTCAGCACCATCATCCTTCTCATCATCACCATCATCATCATCATCTTCATCTTCAACTTCAACTTCGTCGTCGTCATGACCGTCATCATCATCATCATGATCATCATCATCAGCAGCACCAGCATAACCATCATTAGCTTATTCGTCATTGTTGATTTTAGTCGCTGCACTTGGAAGGCCAGAGGCAGAGGATTGATGGGCATCGGTCGGAAGATTAGGATTTGCACAAAAGCTTCGTGCCCGATGTTATCCGCCAGTCTCACCAGATTCCCAAACGGGGCCCTGAGTCAGTTCAAGGCCCATGAGCAGGATCATGTCTTACAGGCAGCGGTTGCGGCTGTCGGGTTCCGGCAGTCGTGTGTCAACAAGTTGAAGGGTTTCAGAAGCACAGTCAGGTTGTAACCTACGCACGACACCTCATCGCCCAGCGACGTCTTCACGAGTACGCCTGGCTCTTAGCGTGGCATCTGAAAGAGCTTCAAACAGGGGGTAGAGGACTCCACTGGTGTTTCGTTACTCGGTTGGGACCCCGCAGCAGCGCATCACTGTCGCACTCTAAAGAAAGAGTTTGTCGATAGGCAATCGACTTTCAAGATCATCGGGCATTTCTGTGTTGGCTGCCTGGTTATTGTTGGCTTGGCCACAAAGCATAATAAACCATAATGTTGGAACCTGATTGAGAAACCCCGGGGCTTTGTTAGGGTTCTTTGCATGAATCCTAATCGGGGTTCCAGGGCCAGGATTTCTTCAGGTGCCTACGATATCTCACATCGTGTTCTGCTAGGCTTTTTGCATACATGGCCGCATCCGCGTCATCCCGTGTTCGCAGATGGATCCTTTTCAGGTGAGCCGATGAGCCACTGTGTCCGTGTTGCCAGTCTCTCACAGGTTAGCCATGCTTTCTTCAACTTTTTCCATCCTGGGAGGATATCATGCACGAAGTCATCCGTGCAGAGACCGCCGCTTGAATTCATCAGCCAGGCCAAGTCTTCCATGCAGACTAGAGCAAATTGGGCCTGCGCCATCGCCCGGGACCTTCTCTGTAAGTTGAGATGAAGATGCATAGCCAAACGTTTGTGTCTACTGGTCCAGTCCAGTGACCTGCCCCTGCTTGTGATGGCCCGAGGGCTATCGGCTTGCGAAGCTGGCTGGCCGAAGCGCTGCCCTGAGGATCTCTGTGTAGCTAGCAGTTTTGCATGATGCTGGAGGCTCAGGATGCTGATGGCGACGATGTTGAAGCTGGAGCAGAAATCAATAGCTCACGACAACGACGACAACGACATTTTGGTGGAAGTGGCGATTGTCGTTGTCGCTATCCTTTTCCTTGTCGTCGTTGTTTGTTTTTGTCGCTGCGGTTGTCGTCGTCGTCGTGGCTGCTGATGCTGTTGCTAACGCTGTTGCTGCTGCTGTTGTTGCTGTTGTTGCGGTGGTTGTTGTTGTGGTTGTTTGCAATGATGGTGACATTCATGGTGAGGTGTTTAGGGTGATACCGGTCCCGAGAGCCCGAGCCCCGACCCACGGCTCTTTCAGACAACAGAAATTGACATGTCTTCCCTTCCGCAGCATCGGCTGGAAACTGTTTTGCCTGCCATGAACGACCTCCAGAAGATCGATGATCAGGCCTTTCCTGAGCTCAGAGCCGTAGGACGAAGCCTAGGATCCTGGCGCTTCGGTTTTCTCGCTGAGCTTTCGCGTCGCTACCATTGCCCGGTGTACCTTTTGACTCCTTGCAGGTGAGGCATGACGAAGAGGCGTTGGCCTTCGTGCCCACCAAAGACAAGCCGAGCTTCGTTGTTCAGGACTTGCTGTCCCCGGTGCTCGGCAGCGCGGCGGCTTGATTCAATTGTCCAACTGCAAGTTTCGACAAGTGTGGTTTGATATGCATGTCTGGAGGGAATGCAGTCGTTGTTGGTTTTCGCCTGCACATGTTCACGCAGCCGGACTTGAGCCGATGATCGTTTCACTGTTTGTGTTTTCGCCTGCAGCTGTAAGACTGTGGGTCTCAGAGAAAGCACATTCATGTGCTTCCTGAAGGAAGAAAGATTCCTGTGATGAAGCCGTCCAAAACAGCAGAGCTTCGTTGCATCAATCATGTCGGGTGACAATGTTCTCACGTTGGTCCAGTGTCCTGGGTACCCAGAATTGATTTGCAAAACCCTGCGCAAACGTAGCCTCGCGACATGCTCAGGTGCTCCTCCCTTATGCCGTCAGCTTCGTCGGGGTCGTAGCTGCCGCAAATGCTTCGCTGGAGAAGAGCTTCCCGACTCTGCTTGCTTCACTTCTTTTCAGCCAGGGCATGACCTCTTTGGTCTTCTGGCGCTGCTCGCAGCACTGCACCACTGCAGCACCAGTCACTTTGGTCCTTCGTGGGGATGGGTGGCAGGACATATCAGGACTTCCAGCAAGCCATCCTTCTCTTGAGTTTCACACATCCCCGGTTGTTTTCGAAGAGCTCTGTTGTGCCCAGGTGTTTGCACCAACGTCGACCTGCTCCAGGCAGCTTACTTGGCCGCCATGGGCCGGGCACTGACCTACGCTGGGGTACCAAGCGACGTGCTCCTGCATCCTGGTCGCAGTCGTTGTATGCCTTGGGTGCATGGAAGTCATGGAAGAAGCCAGAAGTATGGATTTAAAACAGGTAGGGGTGGCGCTCCAAAAGCGAGTTTTGAGGCGAGCCGTGATAAGCACAGACACTTCGAGTCACTGCAAAGCGGCAAGTAAGCCGCAGACGGGGCGGCTTGGATTCGGCGTCTTTTCTTTGTGCCCCTGTTTCACACATCGTATATATGTACTTATGTGTCTAGCTGGGTCGGTCGGTCGGTAGGTGTGTGTGTGTGTATGTCTGCGTGTCTCTGTGTGTGTGTGTGTCTGTCAAAGGCTGTCTGTATGTATGTCAATGGGTGTATGTAAGTAGGTAGGCAATTAAATATTTACGGGCTGCCGCCAGT